GTGTGTGTGTTTGTGTGTGTGCTGGGGACAGGTTGTGTAATTATGAGATGTTGGAGGGGGTCTACATTAGCCAGCTGTCACTCCTCGCCCCTCACCCCATGTGTGTGCTTAAAGAGAAGCCTTGGAGACGGGCCTCGGCGGAGGACTGCTGGTGGTTACACTCACAGATTGATAAGTTATGACACCTCCTGTAACCTCCTCTGCCCTCCCTGTCTGTTAGTCACTCCGGCGTGTCAGCGTGGAGTCGGTGCAGTCGGAGCATCTTTAAGCTGCTGCGCCATCACACCAGCCAAAAAGTCAGGATATAAAAAGTTGTATTTCCATAATTGTCCACTGAGGGAGTGAATGAGGGAGGAGAATCGTCCAGACTCAGGGCCTGTTCATCTGCAACATGTCATCCATCAATGCAATTAGATACTGACAGAAACACTGGCTCTAGATTCGATTCTGTGTATTCATCATTCAGCTCTCTGGTGAAAATGACATTTCATCTGCGCGTTGGAGTGACATGAACTCTCGGACTATCTGTCTTACTGTCTTCTTATGACTCCAGGTTGTTATTTACAGTTATTTTTTCTAACTTCCTGTCTTTTAAAAAATTACATAAAGTTGTGAAAAGAATCTAAAGAGGCAACTGACTTTATATTGAACGCATCCCTGTACTGTGTCAAAGGGATATTAAGTCAGGTTAGGAGGCTGTACTTCAGTGTTAAATTGAATCAGGAAAGTTATAAGAACCTATTTGCATTAATAATCCTGGTTAAAGGCGGAGCCTCCTGAACAAATATAAAACATACCCAAAGATAAAATGCTGCCCCCGGTGGTGAAAGCCTTACGAAGCTTTACAAAATGCTTGTTTGGGACTTGTCCTGTTAGCAGACAAACAAAGTTATTCCTGCAAATGCAAAAACTGCATAATGAGCTTTTTTGGCAACTTCTGTTTCTCTGGAGCTCACATGATACCAAATAAATCAGGAGCATTCACAGGTCATTTCCTTGGAGGCATGAATGGTTTGGAGGAAACACCGTTTTGGGCTTCAGGATGAAAACCTGTCACAGATGTTTGGTTCATTCGAGGGATCTCTCTCAGTTTCTTTCATTTTTTGCTCGATCAAAGTATTCCCATACACGGAGCCGCAGCCTGATTTCAGCTTTGAAGTGGCACAATCGGCTATTTTTAGACTGGCTGTTAGTTTCAGCTGATCAGCTCACAGAGGAGGAGAGCGTAATGCCCGACTTCAAGCACAAACAAGAATGTGGCCAAACTCGGAGCGCTGAGGGTTTTTCATGTCGAGGCAGCAGTAAGATGATGAAACAAAGCCTGATCCATCTGTGTCTGCTTTCACCCCCCGACACTCCTGCTGTCACGGGTCAGTGTTCAGTCACCAGGCAGGGACAAAGGAGGAGATGTTGAGATGAATGGAAGTGCGGCGAGTGTGGCAGAAACACACACACACACTCAATCTCTCTTTGTAATGTCATTAGTGGAGAAGCTGCTTCCTGCGGCTTTGATCTGATCTTGACTTTATCGAGATGACCCGGCCCATCGTCTGTTCTTCATCTCAGATTTTTGTGGATTCTGCACTAAATTCAAACCCAAAGTTAATTTAAATATTAGAATTTATTACCGACGTCACAGATGTGCCGTGGATTCATGTGATGTGTTTTTTAGGTCAAACTTTCCCCCCCTGGAATTCATTAATATTTGTCTTCTGTTGATTTATGTTTGGTCAAATTAACCATGTCTTTGCTTCTCTCCCCTCCTCCCCTCCTCTTCTCCTCCCCTC